ATATATATATATATATATATATATATATATATATATATATATATATATGAATATATTTTTATGAACACTCTCCCACTCAAAAACGCTTTGCTTCTGTCAGATCCCTCTGTTATCGGTCCCTATATACAACATTACCTTCAACATTGTCCTCCATTTCAAATGAAATCACAGACGAGTCTATGGCTTGTGTTCCATTTGGTCGTCTGTGGTACCATTTTATTTCTGAGTCAATTTCACCACCAGAAGTTGATAGTTTGCAAACACAATTCAACACAAATTTTCCGCTGTTTTGAATGGTATAGTTAGCATCCACATACACGATGGGTTTATCTTTATTTTTTAGGAAAATAAAAGAACAAATGTGAAACTTGTTTACCTTCAAATAGATTTCTAATTTGAAGTGTCTTTTAAAATGCATGCTGATGACTAATTATTACAACGTTATTTTCTAAATTTCATTCGCCGATATTTTTATTTTTGCACCATAAATGTGTTGTGTACGTAGTTTGTACTTTTAAAAGTATACATTAAAATGAAATTATACTAAGAGTCATAATTAAGATTTTATTAAATATATGGTTTTTTTAAATTTATTTAATTTAAGCAAACTAGTAGCTGTACGATACAAATCTAAAAAAACATATTTATTAACTAAGCTTTATTTTTTAAAAATATTTTAAATATCGCAAGTACCAATTTGCCTTTTTAAACTAATTCGATGGACTAAATGTTGGTGAAAATATGAATCAGCGAACTTGGGTTTTAAATAAAGATTGAATGTGTATAAGCCTGTCCTCAGCCATTCTCGAGCGACAAATAAACTGCACCATGAGTAATAGTATAAAGGTAAGGTAGATGATATTGGATCATTGACGACTTTCATTTGACCAAGTTGATGGTATTCAACCTTAAAAAACAAATATAACAATATACCATATATATATATATATATATATATATATATATATATATATATAATTTGTGTATGTATATATATTTACATAATGGCATGAGGTCTTTTTGGCTAAAAACAATGTAAATGTGTCTTTATATATGTTTAACTTATCGGAAATTTCCATTTTTCAACAAAAGTATAAAATGTTAGCATAAACTCACTATGTTTTAAAAAGAATGCGTGAATGATCTCTAATGATAAATATAAAGGAAAAACACATACCGCATCTCTAAATAGTTCTTTATTGCAGTTAATAGATGGGTACGTTTTTCGTAATGAACATGTCATGTTCATGCCATCGGCGTCAATGACTAATGAGCATGTAGGTTGGGTCCACCCTGCTGTAGATTGATTTTGACAATATCATTCTTAAACTTTAACCTTTGATTTTTAACAACTATTAAACTGCCAAGTACATTTTACTATTTCCTCTATTAGACAAGTGAAGTAATGATCCTATGGTGTAGAGGGAGAGGTGTACGATTTTTTTATGCTTAGGGATAAACAAAATATAATGTTTAGGAGATTAAGAAAGGAAAGGATGAATGACAATATAAATTCTATTAGCAATTTTAATTTTTATGTGGAAAGTTGTTGACCTTGATGATGTCTTTTAACCTGAGATTCAGGAAAAAAAATGTTTTTCGCTTATATTATGGCATGGAAGGTTAGTTGTTTGAAGGGGTGGGTGGATAGGGAAAAGAGCGATTGAAATAAGCCTCTTGAGATATTATTTATTTATAATTAAGTTACAATTTTTTGTTAATAAAAAATGATATTGAAACAAATGTTGCTTAATTTGCATTACAGCAAGGGACCTCGATTCTGTTTCGATTCTGAGTCCACCCAGCGCTAATGGGTACCTGACTCATGTTCAGGAAAACCAAGGTGGCTAGGCATAGTTCTTGCCATATTATCACCATGTATGCCATGTAGTATAGAAAAGACGAACCCTACTTTTATTGCCCCATGTTTCTTGGGTACCAACGGTAAAAGATAAAGGGAACTCCATGTAGACAGTTATTGCTAATCCAAGATAATTAGGTTTCAAAATCTATTACTCTACATATATAACCCCCCATTTGTCTCACAATTAATTAATAAAGCTCAATCTCTCACCGTATACTTTTAAATCACAGACATATAATTCCCTCAGTTGGGTGGCGTCCATTAATTTCCAGACACTCTCCGCAAACATAGGTGGAGCTCTCGTTACATTGTGAATCGTTAGTTTGCTTTTGAAACGATTGTTGTTTTCGAATGTAATACTAAAGTCTTTTGAAGTAGTTTGACAGGCCTGCATAATATTACATGATCCTATAACATCATCATTCCGGCTCCACTGAGTGTGTGTATTTCTATCCAAGACTGGAGCCGTGAGTACATAATCAGTTCCTTCTTCAGCGGGTACACATGCGTGTACAACTGGTAATAATGCATTCAACTATGTTATTATGTTTTGTACTTACTATTAGATTGGTATATTTAATAGTAATTAGACTACCCGTCATTCCTTGGATAACAGTGGGTTTTGAGGGTAATCCATAAAAAAACATCACGTCTGTAACTTATCGTCATAAAAAACCAGACCCCATATTCAAAAAGACGTCACACCTCAGACGTTTTTTTCTTTTAAAAACACCGATTTCGGCTGAGCATGGGTCTGACTAAACTATCCTTTCATATACTGACGTTACAAAAACAGGGCAACTCTACTTCACCCGTCCAAATCAGACATGTTTTTGTCTTTTGAAACACAGATTTCGGCTGAGCATGGGTCTGGCCAAACTATCTCTTCATATGCTAACGTCACAGGTGAACTATACACCTACCCAACTCTACTTCAACTGCCCAATGTCCTGCAAAGTCTTAGACAACATGTTTTATCGTTAAAAAAAAAGGATTTCGGGCGAGCATGGCTATGACCACGCTATTCCTTCATATGCTGAGGACACAGAAACAAATAAACTCAACTTCACCTGCCCTATGTCCCGCGAGGTCCCGAAAGGCAACTTTATCATTCGCGTTTAAAAAAATTGAAATTTTTTTTTCACTATGTCGAGATGACTAACTAACGTAGAATTAGTACTATAATGTACTGCAAAGTAAGAAACCAGTTATCGCGAATAGGCCCTCTTATTTTAAAATACATTAGGGGCCTATATCCAAAATTAGCTAATTCTATAGCTAAACAATGATTTATATTAAAAAAAATGAAGGTCTGAAATCGTATATTAAAGAAACTCATTATTATCAATATCTAGATATCTAGAGTTGTCTAGATTCTACGACTGGTTTGGTTAAGTCTAGTTTTTCCGTAGTAAATCCGTAGTTCTAGACAATCTAGATTCTAGTTCTAGAGCCTAGATAAATAAATCCCTTATATTCTTGAATTAGATGATCCGTGAAGCTAAAAAGCAAAGATTTATATCCAATAGGACTAAAATAGTTTAATAGAGAAACTCAATCATTTTACGTGTTTTTATAATTGATTTTATTTTTAACTAATTTTATTTTGGCTTGACCTAGATTCTAGATCTATAAATTTTTCTTCCTCCGACAGCTGATCTGTAGATCTAGAGAAATTTATTGTATTCTAAAATAAAAAGAACTGTTAAAAATTGATAATAGTGTTGAAACTTAATAAAAATAGCAAACGGAGGCATCGTTAAAGCTACAGAAAATTAGCTTTATAATGCTTTAAACTTGCGAATGGGCAACAAAATCTTCGATGGAAGCCGCCATTATTCTTATAAAAAGTAAATAAATCATGAAACGTCCCTCTAAGTCATTGTTCTGAATATGGTTAATCTACCAATGAATATATCAATTAATTAATTAACGTCTTTAAATTAATTTGCGATTAACAGTTTGTTTAAAAAAATGTTCTCTAACTAATTACGGATTGTACAGCTCTACACTTAGTGCAGATACTCTTCTGTAACCAAACGGATAAACAAACACACACAAAAAAAAAAAAAAAAAAAAAAAAAAAAACCAAAAAAAAAAAAATTCAAACATGAAAACAAACTTGAGTTTTAGAAGTATAATATAGATAATACAATAAGAAAAGGCTTAACGCTTTTTTTGCTAACTTATTAAATTATCATTTTGTAATAAAAGATAGAAGGCGTTAAATAGTAGAATTTTTATGTTCCCTAAGCTATCATATCTTAATGTAGCTTAATTCTCTTACCTGTAATACTCCGTTTAATTACGAGTAACACAAATATCGGTAATACTGTTTTCATTCTTTTAAAATCGATTTTAAACATAACTTCTCATCTAATTTTGTTAAGATTTTGAACTATGGCTTTAAGCACTATGTTAACACGGAAGTCCTGCTGCTTAAAATTTCTGAAGTGATGTTATTAGTAAGCGTAATTATATTTAACCTCTTTAAACACGGAAATTCGAGACACACCATGCGTAGTTCAAAAAGCTATTGAAGAATAATTTACTCTACATCTCATGTAATACAGATGCTATATTCTTAACTGAATATTTTTTAACACAGTTGCCTAATGAAACAAGCGAGACTTTTGTTACGGAAATCAGCACATACACATATTATGTAGATCGTTTATTTGTTTGCAGTAGGCTATATGTCGAATTAGCAAAAGTAATAAGTAACTGTTAAAAATGTTTTAACTAAGATCAAAAGTGAAAGTTTTTAAAAAGAAATTTAACTTTTCATGTTTGATAGCTAAAAGCTAAATCCTTGTGAAATCGAAAGTGAAAGTTTTTTTTTGTTTGTTATTATCATGTTTGATAGCTAAAAGATAAATCCTTGTGAAATCGAAAGTGAAAGTTTTTTTTTTCATATTTGACAGCTAAAAGCAAAATCTTATGAAATCGAAAGTGTGCGAGCTCATACAGACTAAACAATCAAACAGATAAAAAAAGTCACGAATTTATAAAGCCAAGTTGCCTAATCATTTTTAATAATTTTATTTAGTGTTGCTATTCATAAAAAATACATATAAAATGTACGCTATAAGAGATTATCTTATATAGAATATATACAAATTAATACAATGTTAAGACTAGTGATAGTAGTTTCAATTTCAAATCATTAGAAATACAATAGTCGAACAGTATCTTGATAGATTAAGATTGATTCTGAAAAACTAAGCTAAAATTAAAATGAAACCAACAATTTAAGTATGGTGTTATTTTATCACTATATTTTTCACGTTTCAGTCGTTTCTACTAATTCGGAATACAATCACATTCATAGAAACACTTACAAATTAGCAAAGTATTTGAATAACATATTTATTTACAATAAAAAGGTAAAACAATATCAACTATAAACAAAAGATGTGCTCTGTGAATTTAATAAGTACAATGATAAAAAAAAATATATTCATTTTGTGTAGTCTCCATTTTCACTTGTTACTGCAGCTGTACATGCATACGTTTGCGTTTGTGTTTGTTTCTATGTAATTAATGGTGTGCTTAATTTGATGTTTTCTTCTCCTACACTTCTGAAAAATAAATGCAATTTTACGTAAGGTAACCTGCCTTTAAAGTACAATAATATCACCCATGATAGTTGTGTAACACTGTATTTTTAAATATATTGGCCGACTTTAACAAGCGACTGCCGATTTCTTCCCGGAAATTTAAAGGACGCCACTAACCCCTTCTGAATAAATGTCTTATAATACCATGCCTGTATCCGGGTAAAAACAAGCACGAATATTACTTTCACCCTGAACCACTTGTACTGAATGACTAGTATGTCTGTCTAGTGGACTTCGTTCTGTGGTTAACATGTAAGTAGGTGGGGATAAACTGTGCAAATAGAAATGTATATTACTGTTCTAAAATACAACGTTATTTAAATACAAGCCGTAGCCGCCAGGCCCTGCAATGGCAATTGAGATAAACTTATCTCTCAAGGGCCCTGAATTGTGTACTCTATAACCAGCATATACTATACACTGCCCGGGTTTTGTATAAAATGTTCAATTAAAGGTCTAAAATATGTAAATTTAAACGCAAACATAAACTTAAACTCAAACTTAAACCAAAAAATAAAATCATAACATAAACGGTAACATAAATACAAACTTAAATGCAAACACAAACGGAAACAAATGTGTTGTTTTTTTGTTTTTTTAAGATTAATGCATTTAGTTTGATTTTGTTCAGTACTATTTACGTCATTTAATATGTTAAGCTTAAAGTAAAAAATTATTTCAAAAATGAAAATTATTGAGATTTCTACACATCCGTTTAGAATGTAATTTAAAAAAAACCAACAATTAAAAAAACAATTACACAAAGGGGATCATGTGTAATTCTTTACACAATGCATGTGTTCCACAAGTCACAGACACTGAGTCCATTTCATCTTTATAATATAGATTTTAAAATAATGTTTAGTAAAATTGTTAAGGCCAAATATCTAAATGTAACTATATAGCTTAATTTACAATGAGTCCAACTATTTTTGTAATATTCGTATCTTAGGGGAGGGTAAATCGTACTTTTCAAAGTTGAAACTTATTATTCCGTGTATGATTAAAGTAATCGCTGCCCCGCCTTTCGCTATTTTCAACCTTAGCGTTATTTGAAATCACACTCTAGTCTGTCTATCTATCTATCACGTTGTCTACCAAGCAGAGTTTCTTCCAGGCATCTCTTCGGGGGGGCGAAGCCCCCCCCCCCCGAAAATTTTTTACTGCCCCCCCCCCCCCCCCCCGAACGAAATGAAATTTATATAATTTATATAGAAAATATATACTTTTAACAGTGTCCGCCCCCCCCCGAAGAAAGTTTACCGCCCCCCCCCCCCCCCGAAGATTTCAAGTGCCCCCCCAGAGAAAAAAGTCTGGAAGAAACACTGCTACCAAGTGGATCATTGGGACGCTAATTGTGTCCTTTTAAAAATAATTTTCATCCATTCCACTCAGCTCTCCGCCATCCTCACTGCCACTGCTAGTGTTAAACAGCTATTCTTCAACATTAACATTTTTCGTTTGCCTCTCTTTTCAAAGGCACTTTTCGTAGCAGTACAAGTTACCGGCCTTACGGCAAAAAGGTAGTGTTCAACAGATTAAATGACCGGCAAAATTAGAACAAGTATAGCAAAAAAAATAATTTTCCAGGGCATGTATTGGGGATGGGGCTACTGACACCGGAAAAAGTCAAAGTATACAAATTATAAAAGTAGCGATACCCTCCACAAAGAAAGAGGTCAGATTATAAGGGTTATTAAGCTAAAGTCATTCTGAAAGCACAGGGTGCCAAAATCGAACTCTGCAGGGGCGCCAGGGGACGCGCCTGATTCGATATAGTCAACGATTATTGTTGCCTATCGTGTCTTTGGGAGCCGGACGTTTTCCCGAAAGACACTTGCCCGAATGCCGTTTGCCCGAATGGACACTTGTCCGAATGCGACAAATGCCCGAATTGACACTTGCCCGAATGCGACAAATGCCCGAACTGACACTTGCTCAGTGTTATACTTCGCTTAGAATAATACTTGTCAATCTATAAGGACGGTCTACTGCACCAAACTTTTTTTTAAATGCCTATCTATTGTAAATGCGGTTAGATGTATTTCCGTGTATTGGTATTAATCACATAGATAAAACATAGGCCTACTCAAGTATTGCTTACAATGTATCATTGTTCGAGGAAAACGAACATACATTTTATCTTGTTTCTCCTTTATATTACGACCAGCTATTATGACACTGAAACAGTGTTATCACTTTACTATAAAAAATTATACCTTTTAACTCCTCATTGCTTATTTTCGTATTAATTAGATCTATAACAAAATATCTAGATAATTTATCAAATGTGATTTCAATAGTTGATTATCAAAAATTATAAGAGATTCCAAACATTATACAATACAAAACCAGAAATGTGTTTACTGCACTTCATGCAACATGCAATATATGAAATTACAAAAAGTGATAAAAATAAATGTACTTTACCCGTGGTATCTTCTGCTGGGTTGGGCAGCATCGGTTCTGTTGAATTTGTGACTCAAACATGAAAGGTAATAATTGAAACATTTTTAAATATAATATTAAATCGTTGAGTTTTGCTAGCTATTTTTTGAAAGTATCTATATATATAATTCTCTTCTGGGAGCCGCTAGAAAACAAGCTGCAAACGCGCTCCCTACCTCCCCACCCCTACATGGTTTTAGTGAGCCGTGTTCACTCTAAATGTTTACAAGCAGAGCCAACGATTTTAAACGTAGGGGGGGGGGGGGGAGGGGGGAAGGAAATGGGGGGGGGGGGGGGGGGGGGGTTATGGTCCTTAACGAGCTACTTATAGTGTTTTAAAGAAATATTTTCAGTGGCAGCGTTGGTACTGTCGAATTCACAAATTTTGAATTACTGAAAGGTAGAAAAAACAACAACTGAATAGCGGCGTATGTTATGCCGCGGGCCGGCTCGTTTTTTTATTAATTCTATTTCGTAATTTATAGATTCCTCAAGACAAAAAGCACCAACGACGTTGCAATTGTTATTTGTATTGCCAAATTATTTTATAAGAAACTTGAATACATTATTTCTTTTTACAACTTAATACACATTGATATCATACATTTTAATATATATAAATAAAAATCTCAGAATAGAAGTTCTCATTAAGAAAGTAAGAATACAATCACCTACCTGTACCATTTTGGGTAGCATTAGTATGATGCTGATTCGCTTGACGTTGTTTTGGCCGTTTCCCTCTAATTCTAACATAAAAGCACTGACGATAATCGAATGAGTATAACCAAATACATTACATTATTCTTCTAAAATTTACTAAGCCGTGTGACTATCAGTGTATACAAAGAAATTACTTGCTGTAGGTTTAATGTAAAGCCAAATCCAGTAATGTAGATACATTGGATTAAAAATATAGATGTCATGCAATCGTTTACTTTAAAAAGAAATAAGGAAACATCTGGGAAAATTTACCATTTGCAACAACAATAATACAAAATTCAGCACGATTCAGACAACTTTAATAGAAAATATCAAAATTGTTAGTTAGTCTAAACAAGTACATTGGCCTACCTGCAATGGTAAACAATGAAACCTGAAAATGAGATACAGGAATGGGTTATGTTTGCTATCCAATTTTTGGAAATTGGTTTTATGTAATTGCAGCCATTTATTAAATTCTTTACAAATGAGCACAATAATCAGTAAAAAAAATGTAATGTCACTCTGGTGTCATCTATTTATGACGTCCACTCTTAGACTTTTTATGACGTGTGAACTGGAAGGGGTAAGGTCCTTATGGATGTTCACACGTTCAATTTAAGATCCTAATAATGTACGAAAAACATAAAATATCTTACTTTCTTATAAAATTTAGGCATTTGATATGAAGTATAGAATTGTATATCTAAAAGGATTGCATAACAAATGAAATTTGGCTCGTCACAGTTGACGCACAAAGTAGAAAACTGAAATATTACAAAAAGTTCTTAAATATTTACCTATTATCAGTATTATAATTATAACTGTTAAGATTGGGATTCCGATGTAAGAAGTAAGTTCATCCTTCGAACAATCACATTCTTTTGAACTATTATTCTGATGATCACCACCTATATTGCCTAAATATGTTGAGAAAGTGTAGTTCAATTATTTTAACCATCACAAGTTAGATGCTTCAATCGTAAAAATATAAAATCAGATAATGTAAATTTGTATTTTCAGTGTGCTTTTTTGATGACAACCAATACAGGGCGGTTTTTTGAAACTCTATTAAACTGCCTTTAATTGTCTCATATAATAATTTCAAAACAATATACATTAAGCACATAACGCAATACGTGTTAGATATTCTAATTTTATTTCTATTTCTTCTTTATGTATATTTTAACAACTTTTTAGACTTTTATAATTTATACTCTTCTTCCTCTTCGTTGTTATTTATAATGTTTGAACTTTTTTTTAAACAATTAAGTGTCAACTTGTCATGCGCCATGTAGGTCGTTTACTCTGATTTCAGGCTGCTTTTCTTTTTGGGTTTACTTCCATAGCTTTTGTCAACCCATCAACAAATTTCAAGGCAGCAATTGTTTGATTTTAGAGTTTTCTCTCCTACATGGGTTGCTGTCCCCAGCTACCGAGATTCATTTGCCATGGGGTTCGAAACCTTCCAGTTAAGTAAACAAGAGTTTTACCTGGCCTACCCTATTTACACTCTGATTTCATCAAACGTGTTTTATAAATGTGGTGTAATAGTTTACGACCAAATTGTTACTGACGTGATGTACTAAGTATATATGTAAACAAGAAGAAAAGATGTACCAGAGAAAAGCAAAGCAAACGAAGAAGTAGTAATTTACTTAACAAACCAGAGAACTGCATGCATACTACTATCGTTAACTGTATTGGCTATAAACTTTAAAAATGATATTGCCTCGATTGCTCGAATGATTGAAATGTAGATTTTGTTTTATCTTTAAGAAATGACACATTTATTTATCACGAGAATCATCCTGAAACATGAATATTTAAACCAACTTTTAAAAATATTGCTGCCAAACTTTGTCGCACAAGCCTGAGTACATGAGGCGTCTTGCAGCCACGACACGTTGAGTTTATTTTGTTGGCACATTTCAAGCAGGTTTTCTGGCGCAATCTCTGGTGGAAAACACGACACAACTTTTTCATTATCTTTGCAGAATTCTGTTTTGTCGCGGCAAAAACCGTATTCACCACAGGGAACTTTTTTTGTATCATTGCAGGAATAATCAGCGTCCACCTTTTCTGAAATACATCATTAAGTAAAAATAAATAATTAGGCATTTACACTAGCGATGCCTAGCTTCAGCTAAAATGCTCGCAAAACATAAATTGGCAGGTTTTTAACTACGCTAAAGCAATTTGGGACCACTATGTATGCGGTCAAACAATGAAGCATTTCAAAGCGAAAACTAAGCTTTGTGCTGTTTAAGAAACAGCTAATTTAGTAATTTCACGGCAAAACTATTGAAATTGAGAAAAATTGTTGTTATTTATGACGCCTAAAGTTTTATTTTATATTCTCGACATACTGAGAGCAGTGGAAAGAAGATATTGGCTTTAGGTTAGAAATGTAATATTAGGAAAGAGTGTCCTAGATTATAACCCGTGACATTTAATGAAAAACAAAAAGGTTCAAAATAGGGTCAAAATGACTAAAACATTGATGGTAAAATGTATTGTTTCGACTTTCAGTTACTTTCTCATGTGATTTCAACGACTATGTTTATGCACCCAAAAAAAATAGATACAAGTTATGTTAAAGCATACAAAAATATATACAAATATGCAAAATAAAAATACTTTCTTCGTAACTTAGGACAATATTTCGTTAAGTTGCTTTGCCAGTTTAAATCATTTACTCCATAGCAGGTGATATCTGAAAATTCCGAAGTAAAATATATGTATAGCCTATATATGTGTGCAGTACGTAAAAATGGATAGATATGGATAAATATATAAAGAAAAAAATAGATATAGATACAAATACAATTAAAGAAACAGAAACAGATGTGTGTACATATGTATGTGTATGTGTACGTGTATGTGTATGTATATGTATATGTGTAAGTGAAACTTTAGGTGAAGGTGTAGCTGTAGATGGAGAAGGAGGAGATGTAGATGTTAATGTAGATGTAGATGTAGATGTTGATGTAGATGTAGATGTAGATGTAGATGTAGATGTAGATGTAGATGTAGATGTAGATGTAGATGTAGATGTAGATGTAGATGTAGATGTAGATGTAGATGTAGATGTAGATGTAGATGTAGATGTAGATGTAGATGTAGATGTAGATGTAGATGTAGATGTAGATGTGGTATTATTTCTTGTGCTCATGTACAAAACTGCATTATTTAACTATGAATAAAAAATAATAAAAAGCTTTATTTTCCTACCCATAAATTCTTCACCGACTGTTTTGATTATATATTCGTTGTCCGCTGTGCTGTCGGAAATAAGCTTTTCACCTTGTTTTACCTTTATTTTAACGGTGTTGTTATACGTGTCAACCTTATAACATTTGCAACTGAAAGATTCCCCCTCTAGAACTTCGTCTGGACAGTTGTGAGTGATTCTCGGTGGACCTGAATTTACAATATTTACCATTACATGCATATTTTACATGAGGGAATTGTTGAAAAAAGTAACAGATATGATGTAGACTTTGAAAAAGAAATATATTTATACATATAATCAGACTGTTTGTATACACAATAGTTGTAGTTCAGTCCCACTTTTAGTAAAACGTTTGAAGAGGTAGGCTCTTAAGTCTAGTTCACAATAAAAGAAAAACAAGTTAATAGAAAGTCTAGCGACAATTTAAGCGCGATTTTCTTATGTTATCCATAACAATTTTTTGTAAACATTAGCACGTGGAAAAAAACGAGCGACGCGTAGCTCGCCTCTCTCTCTCTCTCTCTCTCTCTCTCTCTCTCTCTCTCTCTTGCCACGCGCAGTGACGCGAACGATCCCACGTATCAGTCGAAAAAAAAAGTAAAATACACGGGGACAAAACACAAGACGTATAATGCTGGGGTGCGTTCAAGCTAGGAGAACAATCGGTTTGTAATTTTTAAAAAACTTTTGTGACCGAACGAAAGGATATTTTTGAAAACTTTCTTCGGTAATATTGTTCTAAATTATGGCAGGAATCGATTCGTAAATGTTTCAAGTCGCTAAATGGTCTGGTTGCCGAGATATGGGCCAAAAACTGCATTTTTTCGAGGTTTTTTGGCTTTTCCGGGAAATCCAGGAAGGAATTCCGGGAATTTTTTTGGCCCACAATCATCCTTGGATTTTGCTTAACATATTTGCTTTGAAACTAGTCCTCGATATTGCTTCGTTGAGGAGGAGATACGACTTAAAGCTGCGGACACACATCCACACATCCATACATTCATCCAGAAATGACGCATTATAAAACGCAATTTTTCTTTTTTGAAATTGCGCTAAAAAATGAAATAAGAAAAACAAGAAAAACGCCTCTTGTCATGTTGCTGCTGCTGATAATAAAACTTCAGGGGTAACTAAGCTCTGCCTGTCCTAGTACATGGCATAACAAACTAGAGGCTCTCATATCAAAGAATGCTTTTGTTAGGAGTTAATGTCACAGAACGGTGTAAATATGTGGTTGACGGACCATATGAAGCAGAAAATTTGCATAAACTACGAATGCGGACTAACAACGTGATACAATGATGCTTGTTCTTTCCTGGCTTACAACTGGCCACCTAAACAATGCTCCCCATCCCCCTCCTGCAGATCAGACCATAACCCACTGTAGTGACATAAACTACACAACACTCTAATAAAATAATTCAATGAGTAATATGTACTGTAGTGAAATATTATGCTGCACACAATTTTAAAATTTAGATGTGATTATAAAATTGAAAATTATCTTCAACTTACCAATGCAGTATGAAACGGAGATGTTCTTTTTAAAGTTTCTGTCATTTCCATTGTATGAAATGTTTGGATATATACCTACTATAAATTCAAATTTATTCTCCACTTTATCCGTGACGTCAAGACGAATAGAGCAATTGTTGGACATGTATGGCTTGTGTAGTAAAAATAGATTTTTGTAGGTTACATTTTCATAATTTTTCTGTAAGAAAAATGGAAAATATTAAATGCTGGAGTAATAATAAAAGATCCAATGTGACTTTAATTATGTATAGAGTACATAAATGATTTAATAATTGCTGCTAATCACGTCTACAAAAATAAGTATTGAAATGTACACGCCTACTCGTTACAACTTTTTCCAACGCCATTCTTCCCACCCACTCTCCCCATCCCCCCACAAAAAATTGTGTAGACCTTTAAAAAATGACTTGTAATTAACTACTTCAATAGCTACCCGGTGGACCTATTGCTTTTAATAAGAATATAGTATATTCAGTATTTTTATAAGCCTTAAAAAATAGAATTGAAAGTAGAATCCAAATATAGTGAAAAAAAATTTGCAGTATGTTTTAACACGTAAGAGAATAAATATAAAATTTATGTTATCCCATTACCATACAAATAATAGTGCAAAGTATTAAATACTTGGATCTATATTTTGTGGGAGGGGTTAAAAATCTCAATCAAGTGTAGGTATAATTTCTATACTCATTGACATGAGTTTATTTTTTTACAAACTTTTATTAAGTTCGCAACGTCCATTTGTTTGTTTGTTTGTTTGTGGCAAATCTTGTAACTATTTCGACCGACTTGTAATCTAGCGATTCCGTTCAAAATTTCCAGATACGTCCCACTTCTATGACATTACAAGTCTATTGATTCTTTAAAATGTAATGACATGTTTAATTATTCATTAAAAATTAATAAAACGGGTTCTAAAATAAGAGATAACAATTAAATCACATGGACGCGATCACCAGACCAGTCTGGCGTGCTGTGGTTCCCGAGAATGTTGACAATCGTAGAGTCAGTCGATCTAGCGAAGGCTATTAGGGGCAGATAATAGAATTTTAATCCATTTGAAACTAAATGGAGGTAACATGATTAAGAACTTGCAGTCGTCTTTTAAATATGGTCACGGACGGATGTTTTCAAGGGGCAAATAATCGTCTTCATATCGCGTGTTGCTATGGTATTTTAAAGTAAATAATTTTTAGTCCAATCGTATGGGATTCACTAAAAAGTTCAAAATAAAACAAATATTAAAAAAAAAAACTAATAAAACTAAGCTGCTTTCTTTCGTAAAAGCGACCAAAGTTTTTATGACAGAAAGCATATTTGTTTTATTTTCTTATTTTCAGTGCATTTAAAAGCTTGTTGCTATAAAGGTTTTATTTTATATTTGTTTTATTTTTAAACACGGGCACTACCGTCTAAACTTTACTTTTGATATGAAAGATACTAATTTTAGGCTTTTTTTTTTTAAATATAATCAATTCCAGTTTTAAATTAATACGTGTAAGTCCAAATGGATTCTACATAGAAAAAATTAAAAAACATAAATGGAAAAATATATAAACAGAAAGTAAGAGGTGAGGGAGGGAAGGAGAGAGAGAGAGAGATAGATAACTTACATTTCCATGAGTTTCGATAAAGGTACATAACGTTTCCGGATAAGCCTTGGGTACATTACAAATCAACCAAACACCTTTTTCCATAGTTGCTTCCACAACACAGCTAGCATCTTTAATCATCCCTAAACGAAGAATTTAAAGTGTTATACTGATTACAACAATTGGTGGAACTAGAAAAAAAGAGTAAATATAAAATCACACACACACACACATATAGGCCTATATATATATATATATTATATATATATATATATATACATATATATATATATATATATATATATATATATATATATATATATATATATATATATATATATATATATTGTAATTGGTATCGTTCGAAATCAAATCAATCAAATAATATTTTAAGCAACTCTCTGCATTTTAGGTTATGTAATGTTTTATCAATAGATACAATAATAAAAATACTTACTATACGTTATTATGGTGAAATTTGACCTCGTGGAGATATTTGTGTATCCAACAATTAAAACCCATTCTCCATTTATGTCAAAGTCGGTATTACGATCACTTGAGTTAAGTTCTAATGTGTTATACAGATAATTATTGACCAAGGAATAAGTAGAATTAGTAAAGTGTTTAAATTCAGCGTATGTTTCACATTCTTTATTTTGTGTGCAGTTACTAACAATTTGATTATGTCTGTACCATGAAGCTGTTATGTTGAACCTTGGATTAACAAACGCCTTATGCACTATCCTACATGTCTCTTCTTCTGCGCATACAATTTCCGATAGAACACCTGAAATATATATATATATATATATATATATATATATATATATATATATATATATATATATATATATATATATATATATATATATATATAAATTATATATATAGATTATAGATACATAAATATATTTTTTCTGTACACACACACACACACACATACACACACACATATATATATATATATATATGTTTGTGTGTGTGTGCATTATATCACTGCATGAATTTACTAGAAAGGAAAAGTCTATGTGATCATACTAAATTTTTTAAAAATTATTTTTAAAAATATAGAAAGCGATAAAATTATAGCTACATTTTCAAAAATTAAATCCTTTTGGGAACCATCGATTACACTCATTTTCATATTTTTGTATCGAACATAAGCCGTTGAAAATGATTTTGAATTATTGTATAAATTTAAATATTTAATAAAACCGCCCTTAACCCCACCTTGAACTGAACTGAAGTGGCCAAGGAGAGTAAAACGACAAAAGACATAACATTTAGTGTCCATGATAAATACGGACAAGGTGATCCAAGAAAACAAAATGGTGAACAGGGCAATATGTTCAGTTCGATTCAGGCTTTAAAAATTCGTTTGTATCCCATTTCATTATAGTTGGCTTATTTTTTTTATGACTGTTATGCTCAGATTATTAATATCTAAATCTAACATTATTCTTATTAATTGTTACCAATTTTTTTGTAGAATGTTTTTAAAGCACGTTTCATTATTTTTGTTAGGCCTGTGACCTCTGACTACTCACTGTCACTGTGAGTAGTGTGAGTTCTTTGAGTGCTCTAAGCTAGAGATCTAGATCTAGATATCTAGCTAGTTTCTAGATTTAATCTAGATTTGGATTATCTAGATAGATCTATTCTATATAAAGAATCTAGTACTACATTCTAGGAGGAGTACTCTAGAGATATATTCTAGATCTAGATCAAGAATCTATTATCTAGATCTAGCTAGATCTAGATCAAGTAGTAGTATGGCTTTTTAATATGTTTAACTATTTATTAAATATAAAAATACTAGATTGTAGATCTAGATCTATTCTAATTTATAAACTTAATACTTACTAATACGTACGCTATGAAATGTATACAATACAATTTTTCCGGCCTAAACTTATAAAATTTATTTTATATATTTAGATTCTAGATCTAGATATTTCAGATCTAGACTAGATCTAGCGATGGGGGGGGGGGGGGCAAGGGGACGCCAAAATGGGTTGTAAAAACAAATTAAAATGTTATTTTAGCTGCATTTTTGCAGTTTGAGGGGGGGGGGTTCAAGTCGAAAGTTTGAGGGGGTGCAAATTAAAAATTTGCTTTCGAGGGGGGCGCCAAATTGAAAGTTTGTCCCCGGGCACCGTGAAGGGTCGCTACGCCTCTGCCGTAGACGCTAATAAATCGCTAAGATCTAGATTTAGACTCTATCTACTCTATAATCTATTCCAAAAATAAATTTCTATATTATACTATTTCAGGCCTTAATTATTTTATAGAAATCTTTGTTTGTTTAGCCATGGAAATGGCTAATTTGGGATAAAAAATTAATTTGAAAGAATAGGCATATTCATGTAAGTTAAATTTTTTGAATATGTCTTTCATTCTCCATATTATATAAGGTACCTAAATAGCTGAGATGATAGTGTACACACCACGTCAAACATTGCGTTTTGACCAATAACTATTTCATAATAAATTATTTTTCTCAAATAATCTCAAACAAGTACAACATTTTAAAATATGTAGGCCTATAATTCACGTGAAACGGGTACCGATGGCTAGTAGTAAATAGTATAGAAATAAAGTAGTGGTATTAAGTATAGTCGGTGGATCTATTAGTATTACTATTAACTTAGTAATAAGTTTTAGTATTACTATACTAGAGTGCTGTTACTATTCTTACTAATATTCTTACTAATACTACTACTATAGTAAATATATTTTAACAAGTAGGCTCTAACTAATTAGACTAATCATTTATTAGACTAGGTGTATATAGTGACCTACTAACTAATAACTAAGGACTAAGATTAACTATTTACTATATGACTAGTCTCTAAAACTAGTCTATACCAGCTACACATTTATAATATTAACTATGCGCCTAATTTATTTAACTTATCTATCATTACTAACTTAAATATAGAGTATAGACTTAAGTTACTCTATACAATTACTAGGTATATTATAATACACACAACCTCATAATTGCAAAATCATGACATTAATGGCTCAATTATTTATTAGGCCAATAATTTCTACATTAATTTAATTTTAATAGTTAATACTTACTAAATTACTAGATATGTACAAAATACATTTTGTTTAGGATAATTTAGGCTATGGTACAGATGACAGTCCTAATACATCAATTACATTGTTAATATGATTAGGGCCTAGTTAGAGGTAATCAGTGGCGGAACTAGAAAAAAAGGGCCACCCCGCAAATAAATTTTTGGGCCCCATATATATATATATATATATATATATATATATATATATATATATATATATATATATATATATATATATATATATATATATATATATACACGAAAATATGATACATAGAATACTCATTTCGGGCTTGTTCGAGATTTTAGAAAAATAATTAAATATTCTTAGTTTTTATTAAAAAGTAAAAACAAGTTACACCACTTCATTTGAGTGACTGCTATTAGATCTAGTCTGTTTTGAAAATCTCCGTTTTAATATGTCTGATATAATGCCTCCTGTGAGTAAGTCGGTCAAAATAATATGAAGCATGAAAGCTGTGTTTGTTCAATGGTTACTCGCCCTATGTTTTTTTTAAATGTTTTTTTGTATTTATATTATTAGTTTTAAATACATTTCTGTTTTATGCTTTGTCATTCTTTATTATGTATTTTTTTAAAAACAATAATTAAGAGAAGTAATTGCTTTTTAATTTGTTTAATGCAAATCTATGAAAAGGTGCTTAAGAGCACACATATTTGACTACGCTTGCGTATCTTTCACGCGATGGATTTATTTTCAAAAGAATTTTGCCGACAACAGCATGTTTGATTGTAGGAGAAAGAGGACTCGAGATGGTGTCTATAAAATAAAGATAATCAAACAGCAGCCTCAGTATTCTTTTTACAAAACATCCATCAAGTAAAAAATGCAAGAAGATTTTTTTTTAACTGTAAAAAAATTGATTATGGTCGGCTGCGGGCCCCTAAATGTCCCGCCCCCCCCCCCCCCCCGCAATGCGGGGTCTGGCGGCACTGTAGTTCCGCCCCTGGAGGTAATTACTAATTAGACGTATGATGACTTAATAACTAATAGATTCATATTTAATAGCAGTAGGTCTATAGTCTATAGGCTTAAACTAGTATTGTAATAAAAAATAAAGTATGCTTAATTTTTACAGTTGTCATATTACTTTTAGTTTCAGTAGGCCTATCTAGACTGTAGATTTAGATGTAGAAGCTTAGTAGTAGTCTAGCAAGACTGTGATAGCGTAGGTAGTTAGTATTTGTATGTAAGTTAAACAAAGTTAACTAGGCTTAATAAGGCTACAATTTTAAACTGTAGAAATTACATGTAGCCTAAATTAAAGGGTACAGACTAGTACATTAAATAATATCCAAATTTAAGTTTAATCTAGATTAGTAGTCTAACAATAATTTTAGGCCTCTAATGATAATAGTAAAAATTACTTAATAGAAGAGTAGGCTTACTAGTGAAGAGCTGTCTTATTTTAGTTCTACTTAATTAACTTAATATATGACTTAGTCTACTCTTAGTCTTATGTAGTGATCTTTTGAACTTATTAAAAAATGCAGAATAGTTGATAAAGCCAAAAGGTGTCAATTGTCATAGATGGATTAACTTACTAATCAAATTAATATAATTATCCTAATATTTATTCTAGTATGTGTATGAATTGATGATAGTTATAGTAGCCTAGTTTGAATATCAATTTTCAACTAATTCCTGAGGTGGCTAAACATAAGTGTTTTAGTAGTGGATCTTTATTGATACCTTTTTCTTTTTTTTTAATGATATATACATGACTTTTGACTCTTTTGAGGGCCTATTGTATATTTAATGACAAACTCCTTACATTAAAATATTAAAAGTAAACTATTAGACCTATATTTTTAATGAATGGCAATAGTTAGATAGCCCATACAATCCAATACATAAATACACATCATTGCTTTATGATTTTTATTCGACAAACAAATATTTTTATTTATAACGTTAAGAGTTGAAAGTATGTAAAAATAATGAGTTTAATATAACAGTTTATGAAATTTATTTATGTTTTTTTAGATACTGTGGATTATACAACTGCATACAGAAAAGACAAAAGCCTAGATGAAGTTCAATTTAAAAACTGATCCAAGGATACATGTTGAACCCAAGAAAACTTTTTCTTATTGAACAACTTTTTTTTGTATTAGTTCTGAATGAATATGGTAATTAAAAAAAGAAAAGTATAAACTTTGTTATGTTTATTTTTTTTCCAGCACTGGTTTTGTGTGCTTATGCGTGTGGAAAATAATTATTGCTACCTTAATTCAATAATTAACTTAAACCTAAGAACTATAATAGTTTTTAAGAATATGGTGCTGAAGTAGATTTCACCCGATTTTGTTGCCTCTCCATATTAATAAATTGTATGGTCAGCAAAATGTCATACAGCTTTTACTGTCCGTAACCAGTCAAGTACCGGTTAAAGCTGCTTTGAATTTGAATCAGAGACAACCTAAAGGATTAAAATTTCAACTCAAGAACTTTTGCTTTAGCCAATGTGTTCACAAATATGTAGTCCCACTATAAGTCTTACATTTGCATAGTATTTTGTAACTATTACATAAATTTTCTATAATATTACAAATAAAACAGTACTATATCTATCATAGCTGTAAAACTTAATGATATGGGAGGAATAAAAAATATGGGTGTTTGTCAATTCTAGCCATACCAGCATATAAATGAAGAACAATCTTAGAGAAGCATGACTGATAACTAACCATCAACCACAAATACAGCAAACTATAATCACTGCCTGTTTCCTGGTAATGTGTTGTTATTGGCCGTGCAAGTTTATGAACATTTTGTAATTGTTTATATTTTACAAAAAAAAAGACTGTTGCTGATCAGATGCATTCCAGATATTTGAGGAAAAGATGTTTTCTAAAAGGATAGGCACCTATAGCAAATGAGGTTAGGGGAAATGTTGAGTTAAGATAAATTATTTAATAATTGTAATGACAAAGATATCATCACAACAACAAATGTAATTAGGTTTGTATGACTAATTAATGACTATCTTATAAATAATAGCAAAATGCTGTAGTGGTCGTCCATCAGACTTTGAGGTGGTGGGGGAGATTTGGGCCTTTGTGTCAAGGGGGAGGGGGTTCAGAAAGTAAGATGACACTTTTCCATGTTCAACAAACACTCATGTTAAGAATCTGAATTTAAGCCTTTATTTGCACTATTAAAAGTTGTTTTATAAATTGTTATAAAATAATTCATCAATAGGCCTACATTGAATGTTGGAAAAGCCCATAGGTCTAAATATTTTATGAAAATCGCTGCTTTAAAAACAAAATACGGGGGGGGGGGGGGTGTTGGCTTAGGTTTACTTTTTTGGGGAAGGGGGAGGTCTGGCATCGTAGTGACATCGTTAATAGATGACCCCATAGTCAGAGGTCGATCTAGATTGATTAGGCCTATATTAAAATGTTGATATTAATTACGCTTTACTTATTATTACAATATATATTAAATAATATAACATCCCCTTTCACCACAACACCCTAACTATACTAATCCAAATTAAAATAAAAATGTTTGGTAAATAACTATTATATATATTATATTATTAATAATTTTGTGTTTAAACATTTCTAGCCTTAGAAAAACCGGAAGTGATTTTGTACTTATTTCACAAATGTTATAAAATATTCAATTTTTGCTCAAAAATATGCTTTCAGGCAACAACCAAGTGGAACCACTTTTCCTTTCTAATGCACAGCTAAAATTAAAAACTTCTCAATTTTTGAAATAGCTCTTTCGAATTTATAACACTCTACTTATGAACTTTCTGCTTTCTATAAAATTTAAAAAAAAATTAAATTATTTTCATACTGAAAACCTGCTGCTTAGCAGTTAGGAATCATATTTTCCATCACTCTTATCAAGATCATATGGCCTACATATTATACATTTACCTTTTAAGCTCAATAGTAAAATACGTAGGAGCATCCTCTTGAATTGTTTACGAGTCATCTTTGACTATTTATTGTGTTGTTCTCTGTCAAAATTTAAAAAACAAGTGTTGTACGTAAAGTATTCTAGAAAAACTTAAATAATGTAAATATTTAATGTAAATATTTTCAAAATTATAATGAAAACTAATCTGCTTAAGGCTTTAAACGAATTCACTAACATGTAGTCTATGTAGATCTAATAAAAATATATTCTACCGACCGCCGGAAAAAAGCATGCACAGCAGAGAATAAAAAATCATTTCGGGTATTTCCAAAACTACTTTAACAGAAATTATTTTTATATTGATATTTTTCAAACTTTCTATATTTTTTTATACTAAACATTTTCCAACCCATTTTGACTACTGAACCATGGATTATAAACATTTATTTTCCAAAAACTTTTTTTCGATATAAATAAAGTTTAATCGGAAATTTCCAGTGTATTTTTGCTTTGTTTCAGGAAAAGATATATCGGCCATTTTGAAATCCAGCTAAGCTGTTAGAGCAGATATATAAATATATTTTTATAAACATATATATATAAATATATTCATACATATCAGATTTTAAATGACTGTTTTCTTGAACATGAATTACTAATATAATTGTAAAATGGCGGAAAAATTAAACACATTTTTAGCAGTATTTATAATAACTATTATCACGCCAAGTAAGTAATTTTAATTCTACCACACAAAATACTACTGAACAGCACACCTTGATGGTATCAAGAAAAATAAATGAACTCAATAGATAGTAAAATGTTAGAGCATTAAAGAGATGTTGAATGGTTTCCAGCTTGTTGAAGTTCTTACCAGTCATTGAGTACTAGTCTGGTGTTAGGATTAAGATAAATGTATGGCGTACGTAAATTTCTCAGCCAAACAAAAATACAATGCCAAGTGCATGACAAAGAAGACTTATTTCTTTTTGGTTCCTCAGTATATGATTTTGATATAAAAGTAAATTAAACAACGTAGAAAAGAAAATTTTAGCCCTACGTCGATAGAAATATTTTTTTTAAAATATATAATATATCTTTCTATTTTACAGTCGTCTTTTCTGGGGAAAATGTTAAAAATTACGTCGTGTGTGAAGAGAACGAAGTTTGTGAACTAACTCACAAGTGGAAAAATAATCAAACAGTAAATACAGCGATCATATGGTACAAAGACAATGATGTTGTTAGTAGCTGCGACACGAATGGGGATTGTATTATATATCCTCAATACACGGACTGGATTATTTCTGATTACCATCTAAATGGCAACTCGTGTGAAAGCACATTAAAATGTGTATCTCATGCTAGACAAACAGATGGAGCTAGTTGGCGTTTGGAGGCAAAGTATTTAAAAAATCAAACATCATTATGGAGTTGGAAATCTACAGTCTACAGTAAGGTTTTATTATTAAAACGTTTTTATAATTGATTTTTTTCATTAATTTTACAATTGTAGGCTACATTGCTAGAGCTGGTTGATATTTCAAGAAACATCACCTCGCATCTATTATTTTTTTACAAGTGTTTTATTTTCAAACTCGATTGCATATATGCTAAGACATTTGTTCGCGCAGTTTGTTTAAATAAAAATAAAAACAAATTTTTATCTAATCAAAATAATAATTATTTTTCATTTAAGAGATAATGAATACGGAAACTAAACCATTAGTTTAGACGGTTCATTATTATTCGACTATCTTTCAACCTTGCCTAAAATATTAAACGTAATGCCTTAAATAGATATATTTGCAGTTAATGATTAGTATGAAAACACTGACATTACATATTAAAATAGTGTGTAAAAATTACAGGAAAAATAGATAGATACACTTGTTACATAGAAGTCACGGACAAAATGTCATTGGTGTTAACGTGTCAAGTACTCATGTCATACCCAGAGTCTATGTGTAATTTTACAGATTTACTATCAAAGGTAAGCTAATTAATACAAAAAATTTATATAGCACCTGTTTATTACCGATATATATATATATATATATATATATATATATATATATATATATATATATATATATATATATATATATATATATATATATATATATATATATAATACATAAACGCATAGTCTACAAACTCGAAATATGTTTTGCCATCCTGCTACAGGTTCCTTTAAACAAAACTGTCGTCTACAATCAAATTCCAGTTCCTGGGGATACTCTCCACAAGACATCTTATTGTTCAATACCGTTGTCAGTTCCTCAATCTTTGTCAACCTATAGCTTCAGGGTGACTTTCTATCCGAATTTGACAGACTCTTCTGTTAAATCTCAAAATGTTGTTGGTTACAATGTTAAATTTCAAATAGGTAAGTTATAATATTTATAGACTTAACAGATGTAGTCGTTTTACAATTTTCAATGCGAGGCAGCTGCAATAACAGTATTAGGTACTTGTGGGAAATTAAATTAGAATTCTTTTAGGTAAGCTCAAAAATATGAATCTATCGTATTTTTTTTCAAATTCATTTTCAAATATAATGCTCTTAATACAACGTGGCGCAGCAGTCATAAGTGTAACTCAAATAGAAACAATACCCTGACACTCACCTAACCATAACATTTACATTAAATAAAACAAAAACATACTTCGTATTTGGCTAAAACTAAATGCTTCCCAGTAATAGCCCAAATTATTTGTTTGCACATTAAATCATTTATTTAAGCGTTTTCGAATTTAGAGTATTAAATATTTGACAATTTGCTTTTATTTCCACTGTTCTAAATAGCTTTTGATATTAAAAAGATTAATGTGTTGCATATTTAAAATATAATTAGACTATACTAAAAATATTGGGCTACAAATTATCAGGGCCCAGCTATTTATAAAATGCGGTTTTAAAAATAAAGATTATAGAAATGTCTTTTTCTTTGACCTTCAACTACATCTTACCTTTCCTATATATATATATATATATATATATATATATATATATATATATATATATATATATATATATATATATATATTTATATATATATATATATATATATATATATATATATATATATATATATGTTACGGTCAAAGCCCGAAGTGCGGCCAAAGCCCACATTGGCCGGCTCTCTTGATCAAAGCCTGAAGAGCTTAGCACTGAGAGCGTATTTCGTACATTGGCCGTCCAATACGCGCACTGGCCGGGACGTATTGGCCAAAGTCCGAGGCCTTTAACTTGACAGCGTATTTCCTACATTGGCCGGTCAAGGCGCGCACTGGCCGGGACGTGATGGCCAAAGTCCGAAAGTGTAAAATTGACATATTATTTCATACATTGGCCAGCTAATGCGCGCACTGGCTGGGATGCTCTATCTAGACTAAGTTGTGATAGCGTTTTCATTATTTTGGGTGAGGTTTCATTGTGAGTAACGTATTGATTAGCTGTTGTTTGTATAGCATTCTATACGCTACAATGCGACATGGACCAAAAGGGCCGTCAGACCAAGTGACAGACATACCAGATGGCTGCCAAAATAAATAATCCAAATCCTAATGGAAGAGAATTTGTGAATCAAGTTATTTCTGAACTAAATAACATGTGGCCTGAACTTAAACTAGTTCACGGAAATCCAAAGCATAGCAAAAGCCAAGGTTCAGTAGAACTTGCCAACCAAGATGTTCAAACATGATGATGACATGGATGCAGACAAATGAATAAGCTCGTTGAGCCGAGAGTCTCAAATTCATTCAATTTATGAAAAACCGTTCTTTTCATAAAGTAAACCATCAATCGCTATACACACAATGTTTGGATGCAAAACAAAGGTGGGACTTAGCACTTCAAATCTACCAAGAGAGGCTCTCGATAATTTAGTTACTGAGGAAGATCTTGAGAACATGGAGCAAGAAATGGAGGTTGCCATAAATGCAACGACATCCTTAGCTAACACATATGCTGCCGTGGCGGAACGTCCAGACCAGTTGCGTGACAATAATATGGCCAACAGATTACGTGTAGTTTGTGAAAAATATTGTAGTGCAGCCCATTCTTTGGATCCTGTGGCAACGATGTCCATGCAATTGCACAACCAAATGCACAACAAATCGCTGCAAGTGTAAAAATAACATTGATTGAGACTATGGTACAGTAAAATACTTATAATGTTTCTGTAATTTACTTTAATTAATAATCAATAAAGACTTAATTTCGTGATCCTTACGATATGAAAAAAAAAACTAAATCTGCTCATGATCATCTAATTAGGACTTTGGCCGGTCGTTCCTAGCCAGATGATCTTCTAATTAAGAGCCATTTCAGACTTTTGCCGGTTCATCCTGGCCAGTCCGCGGATTGGCCGGCCAAAGGCCGAAATCAAATTAAGTTTCGGACTTTGACAGTTTTTTTATACCGAATATAGAGAAAAATCGCACCCTACCAAGGCGCCGCCCATGCGAAATTAAAAACGATTTTTTTTTGCAGAACGCTTCTCTAGAGTTTTCTAATCAACTCCCCAAAGTTTGATATCGATCGGATGAACGGTGTGAAACCACGATCGCCTTTTTTATATTTGCCAAATATAGAGAAAAATCGCACCGTCCCGGGGCGCTGCCCTTGCGAAATTAAAATAGATTTTTTTGCAGTTTAACAGTTATCGATTGAACGGTGTGAAACCGAAATCGACTTATATTTTTATATACCGTATATAGAGAAAAAACGAATCGCGCCCTGAAGGAGCGCCACCCCTGCGAATTCGAAAAAAGTCTTTTCGCAGAAAAAATTTATTTATTGAATAGTCAGTTAATTTTTCAAAAATGGCAACATTTTCAGAGCCACCAAATGTAGCATTCAGTTGCAATACAATTTTCAATGAGGGTGACAAAATAGAATGCAGCTGTAGAAAGTCTGATGCTAGCAATTTGACTACACACGTTAGTTGGTATAGTCATTACAGTCTGGACAGTTTGGTTGATGGAGAAAATGAAGCAGTCCTTGAAATAAAATCTCAGAAAAATATGACCGGTAAGTGCATATTTTAAAAAAAATGTTAAAATAAAAATTTGATGACAAAAAACGTGGGTCGGGCAGATTTATGATTAAAGCGAAAAGCACACAACACACGAATTTTGGAAATTTGATGGTGAACGTACCCACGTTTTTTGTCATCAAATGTATGAACAGTCATCACAAGAACCTGCACAGCTCGAGGAAGCACAAAATCTACGAGCAGTCATTGGTAGATCCCCTAGGGTCGGAAGAAAAATTTATTTTCTACTTTTTAGTCCACAAGAAAAACGTGGTTTTTTAAAAAGTTTTTTTAAGTATTTTTTTTTGTTTGCTTTTACCCATATTTTACCCATATCTCCTTTTTTTTCTCGCAAAATGGAAGGATTCATATGTATTGGTTCAAACGCACTTGCTTGGAAAAGTCAGGAAGTCTTCTATAATATTTCTATCCGCGGTAAGTAAAAAACTATATTTTGTATGCGTACGATATTTGAATTCACAAGATAAACCGAATTTTTAATAGGATTTTGAAACCGTGTTTATAAATCACCAGACGAACCGGCATTCCAGAAATGTACAGGCCTGTGATGGGTGTATGTCAATATAGATATATAAGTAGGCCTATACGTTCACCTACATTTACATATAAACTGATTAATATTTTTCAGAGAAAATCAACCCAAAAACGTTTAGGTGTCCAGATCCAAGACAACATATCTGCGGTCGTCATGGGTTATGCTACTTTAGTCATGAATATTGCACAAAAAATAAAGAAGTCGAATCGTGTTTCCCTTCTAACATCGATACTAGTAATCTGCTACAATGGTGTCGCACAACAGGCCTGACTAATATCTCAGCAATGAGAGATATTCAATGTGGACATGCTTGTGTCTCACGCTTCAGTTTTGATGAGCTTTACGGAAGTAAGTTTACCCTTAAAAACACCCTAACAAACATAACATCATTATAATATGAATATAAATTCAAAAATGTATGTGTATATAAGTGTATTACCTAACGTATAAAAAGACTGCTTTTTAAATTGATTATTTGATCAAATACAAGATACAATTACGTGATCCATAATTTGTTAAATCTTATTCTTAATATTTTGTACATTTAGAAAACCGTGTTTTCCAATAATAATTAAATAGTCTGTGGGTTATTTAAGGAAGATCACGCGATATCCATTAGCTAGGAATAGGTAACTGAAAATGCTTCTGATTTAAACATGAACTCATCAGTACGTTTTATTCTTTATTTAAATGTTTAACATGCATATGCACAGAATTTCTTTCAGGCATCTTCCTTGAACGAAATGGAATTTCTATAGAAAATATATACAGTGTGTTCCCCCCCCCCCCCCTCTCTGGAAATTTTAGTCCGACCCCACCACTCCGTAAATATCAAGTGCTCCGCCCCCCCCCCCCCCCCGAGATAAAAGTCTGGAAGAAACACTGCATGTGCAGAAAACGATTTAGTAAAACCTTAACCAGTTTATTTTTTATCATATTGTGATATTAGATCAGCATCCAATCTATGCAGTGTTTCTTCCAGACTTTTTTCTACGGGGGGGGGGGGGCACTTGAAATCTTCGGGGGTGGGGCGGTAAACTTTCTTCGGGGGGGGGGGCGGACACTGTAAAAAGTATATATTTTCTATATAAATTATATAAATTTCATTTCGTTCGGGGGGGGGGGGGGGCGGTAAAAAAATTTAGGGGGGGGGGAAAAGCCCCCCCCCCCCGAAGAGATGCCTGGAAGAAACTCTAAATCTATGTGAAAAAAATTTTAATCGTACACTTTGACACTTCGTATCACTTTTACAGAAGAACATTTAGAAACATCAGATGATCAGCTTCATCAAGACAAACTGTTAATCGCGCTCTTGTTTATAACTTTTGGTAATAATAATTTTAAATTTCTTCTTTATTAATTATAGCAAACGAATCATGTATTAAAATAGTGTATTGTTTAATTTTATATCATATTAAGTTAACAACAATAAAGTATATTTCTGTTTTTAAATTTGGAATGAGATAGTAATAGCTTAAATTAGTTTGTTATTACGAATTAGATTAAAATTTGTCATAATAGACCTTATAAAAAATACCGCTCCTTTTTGTGTAAAAAAAAATACTTTCAATAACACGCGGTGAAGAAAATGTTGCAGTATTACTATAAAGAGTTAGCTACAAAATTTGTCAATGTAAAATCGAAATTTGGATATGTTTATTTTACTTTATTGAATATTACGAAAGCAACTAATTATCAATAGAAAAACTCAAAATCTCGAAAATAAGAACCACAAAAGTATATATGTTACGGTCAAAGCCCGAAGTCGGCCAATGCGCGGATTGGCCGGCCAATCCGCGCATTGGCCAATATCGTCTCCCATTGGTCGGCCAAAGTCTGAAACTTTGCTTGATTTCGGCCTTTGGCCGGCCAATCCGCGGACTGGCCATGGTGGACCGGCCAAAGTCTTAATTAGAAGATCATCTGGCTAGGGACGACCGGCCAAAGTCCGAATTAGAAGATCGTGAGCAGATTTTGGCTTTTTTATGCCATAAGGATCATGAAATTAAGTCTTTATTGATTATTAAATTAAAGTAAATGACAGAAACATTCAAATTTTTTATTGTACTATAGTCTCAATCAATCAATATTATCATTTGTTACAACAATTTAAACTTTTATGGCATTTAGAATTACATAGTAGCTTGTTATTTTTACACTTGCAGCGATTTCTTATGCACTTGGTTGTGCAATTGCAGCGAGTGTAACCTTGGCCCCCATTCAATGATTGTGAAGATGCGATGGTTTGTAATGATTTTTCCTCAGTGCCAAATGACGACAATAAGAGCAGTTTTTCGTGAAGAATTGAGAACTCACTTCTAGCATACAGTTGTTTTAGAACACCATGTTCCGTTCCTAATTTGTAGAAACCGCCCTCGACGCTTATGACAACTGCAATCACGCTTCGGGGATCACCGCGACCTCTTGTCAACATCTGGAACACGGATGCGTACATTGTCACCCACTTCAGCATCTTTAAATTTTGTATTTGATGTTTTAAGCATCTTAGCACCTTGAGTTTGCTAGCTAGTATGAGCTGCTGACCTGTGTTCCATGATGTCTAGTTTGTTGTGACACAATTCGCAGGTAATATTTCCTCCGTAACCTTCGTCTGCTTCATTGGGTATTCCAAAAATAGCATGGACATCGTTGCCACAGGATCCACAAGAATGAGCTGCACTACAATGTTTTTCACAAACTATACAGAGTCTGTTGGCCACATTACTGTCACGCAACTGGTCTGGACGTTCCGCCACAGCAGCAGATGTTTTAGCTGAGGATGTCGTTGCATTTATAGCAGCCTCCATTTCTTGTTCAATGTTCTCAAGAAATCTGGAGTGCAAGGAAATTCTGTCGGTATTATCATGCAGTCCAGTCAAGGCGCGGTGGTGGGTCTGCTTCATTTGGTATTCCCCTTTTGTTGGGGAAATATGATTTCTGACGCCCACGCCATCTCAAGTCGCTTGGACACTAGTGTTCAACTGACAAGGAAAGTCTTTTGAACATTCCGTCTTGTTGCAAATGGTTGGTGACGCCGACTGTCTTTGATTTTGTTCTTTGATGATTGTCATCAAGGAGGAGGCTGTCACATACAGTTGTGGCCCATATATAGAAACTAACATGGATTTTCATTTTTTTCTTTTGACAGCCATCTGCTATGTCTGTCTCATGGTCTGACGGCCTTTTTGATCCATGTCGCCTTGCATATAGAATCCTATACAAACAAGAGCTAAACAATACGTTACAATAAAACCACACCCAGAATAATGAAAACGTGATCACAACTTAGTCTAGATAGAACATTGGCCAGGATATACCGGCCAGTGCGCGCATTGGCCGGCAAATGTACAAAATACGCTGTCAAGTTTAAGCGCTTCGGACTTTGGCAGTACGTCCCGGCCAATGCGCGCATTGGCCGGCCAGTCCGCGAATTGGCCGCACTTCGGGCTTTGACCGTAAAACATATATATTTATATATATATATATATATATATATATATATATATATATATATATATATATATATATATATATATATATAGAGAGAGAGAGAGAGAGAGAGAGAGAGAGAGAGAGAGAGAGAGGGAAGGGAATAGAAATTTGTAAAAGTAGTATTCATTTCAAAAGCATTATCAGTGCATGCTATTAAAATGTATAGATTACATGCGTTAAGTAATTATTATTTTATTTATTTTTTAAAGTGTAAATTTAACAAGTAACTGTAAAAGCCTTGCTACATTTCAGGCGTGACAGTAATTGTTGTATTTACAACTTTCCTAATCAGGAAAAAAATGTAAGTAGCCATTCATAATTAATCAATTATTACATGTATTATGTTGCTGTGAATCCCTCAATCATTTAAGACACCTGGGCTGGAGGCTGGGGTAGTTAGGACTTGTATTACTGTTTTTAATGGGTGGGGTAGTTTATCGTTGGTTGGTTCCAAATTTTGACCCAAAAAGCAAAATTTAGCAGTTATTCCGCTTTTTAAAAAGATTTATTTTTGTACTTTGTAACATATGCATGCGTACGTGCATTTTTATGTGTTCACTTCTATTTTAACTTAAAAGTAATAGCACAGCGTAAATATTAAACATTTTATACTTCCACCTAAGCAATCATACGATATCTGCATTTATACTTACGCTGCCCTTATGCTCACATTTTTCTTATACTAATTTAGTATAACTTGTAGATTTTTAAATTTATTTTACCATTTATTTAATCAATTGCAGAAAGAGAATAATAACGGAGATTATTCCAAAGGTAGGTATTCAGACGTGTAAATTATCTGATTATTATATATATTATTTTTAAATCACACACAAAAATCGACACCTCTCACTGGAAATGTTTAGCTGTCTGTTTAAGAGACTTATAATTATTATATTTTTTAGTATATCGAGGCAAAGTTTGAATATAAGTATATTTTCTCGCCAAAAATGGTATATAATAAAATCATTGAAGTAAATGTAGGGAAACTGCTGTTATCTCGTATTTATATATAGTACTTACACTCAGTGGCGTAGCTAGGATTTTTGGGCCCCTATGCAAAAAGTGTTAGAGGGCTACTCAGAGGCGTAGCGACCCTTCCTGGCGACCGGGGACAAACTTTCGATTTGCACCTCCGCTCAGACTTTCGATTTAAACCCCCCCCCCCCCTCAGACTTTCGATTTGCACCCCCTCTCAGACTTTCGATTTGCACCCCCCCTCAGACTTTCGATTTGCACCCCCCCCCCCCCTCAGACTTTCAATTTGCACCCCCCCCCCCTCAAACTTTCGAAAAAGGGCCCCTATTTGCCATGGGCCCCTATGCCTTGCTTACGCTAGCTTTACGGTAGCTAGGCCACTGTTTATACTCAACCCTTCATTTTTTTTTAATTAATATTAAATTAAATCACATAATCATATCATATAGTACCACACTCAGTGTTACGAAACGAGTCATCTATATCGTAGGTGATGACTGCAGTTAGAGGTTACATAGTTGTGTGGTGAATTAGACACTGTAAATTACTTGATTGTTGAAGAAGACACCAACACAATTTTAGTTGAACAACTTTAATTAAATAGATAATTAAACTACACTCTATATGGTAGTCCTACTATGGTCTAAGGAAACAGAACTAGTTCATTAGTAGCGGCCGGCCTTAGGGGCCAGCCCTATCACACATTACAAAAACACAAAACACGACTACATGCTAGCAAGCCTAACGAGGGGAAAGGGGCGGGCGCCCTAACCTGCACTTGACTACGGGGATGCATTGTGTCCCAGTTCAGGTGTGGGACGGGAGGGGGGGGGGGGTAGATACCAACTAGCGGTTGGACGAGGGGAGGGAGGGTGGACTCAGTTATAACACTCAGATCCTAGTGGTATAATAGCAGAAGCTCTAACGACCCTTTTTTTTTGGTAACATTTCTGTTCCGACTTGTGAAAATTTGATACAAAGGAAGAACTAAGTCCAGAAAGATTGAGAAGAACGATGCTTTGTCAAACGACTTACAAAATATCGAGGGATACGTTTGCTGTCCAATATCTAAAACCATATAAAACAAATAAGAAATAAGCATGCTCATAAAAGAATGCATGTAGGCATTAGGAAGAAAAGATGCAATCTTACGCTTTATTAATGTACAGTATCTGGAATAGAACGTAAGTAAATATGTTTCTAGAAAAAACATGCGATACATGGAAACCAGATTAGATAATTTTGGAAGTACAGACAGGTGTGGGACATAGATGTGCACTGTAACTTTTCTCGTTTCTTCTTTCCATTGACTGGAGCAGTTTGTTCTCAATTGTGTTCCAAATTAATATTATGTTTTAAGACTTCATATGGGTTGTGTCATTTTTAAAAGATGTACTTATTTTACATTTTAGAAATCCTCAACAAAAGATCATCACTGTAAGACATCAGCATTAGATCTTAAAACTAATAGATCCATAAGCGTGAGTAAAACTTTAAAGCATGTTTTGTTAGAAGTGTTACTAATATTCATAAACATTCTGTGGAGTCTTCTGTTGTTTTTTTAGCAAGCCTTTCAAAATAATATTTAATTATATTTGTGTAAATTAATGTACGCAGTTCGGAGTTTGTCAAGAAAAAAATTATTAAACTATTTAATTTCACAAACGTTACCTACCCACAGCCTACTTTACAAATACAAGTTGTATCGTACACATGTCTAAAACAGAAAACTTACTTGACTTAGTCCTCTTTGCTCCTTATGGAACGTAGGGCCTCCACCAATTCCTTCCATTTCGTCCGATCCACGGCTTTTAATTTTGCCATCTCCCAAGACATCCCTGTTGGCTTCAGTTCTTCAAGAAGACTCCGCCTCCAGGTCTGTCTTGGACGCCCTCTCTTTCGCTTTCC